GGCGGGGACCGCCCCAGCCTCTCTGGGCAGCCTGTGCCAGTGCTCTGTCACCTTCAAAGTAAAGCTTTTCCTCATGTTTAGATGGAACTTTGATTTGTTCCAGCTTGTGCCCATTGCCCGTTGTCCTGTCACTGGGCACTACTGAAGAGTCTGGCTCCATCCTCCCTGCATCCACCCTTTAGATATTTATAGATATTGATAAGGTCTCCCCTCATTCTTCACTAGGCTAAACAGTCCCAGCTCACTCAGCCTTTTCTTATGAGAGAAATGCTTCAGTCCCCCAGTCACCTTCATTGTTCTCTGCTGGACTCTCTCCAGTAGGTCCCTGTCTCTCTTGAACTGGGGAGGCCAGAATTGGACACATTATTCCAGATGTGGCCTCACCAGGGCATCCCAGAGTACCAGTGTCCTTCTTGGTCACAAGAACACACTGCTGGCTCATGACAGCTTACTGTCTACCAGGATTTCAAGATCCTTCTCCTCAGGGGTCTGCCACCGGGTGAGGTTTTGTTTAGCTCACATGCTGATGGTATTAATTTTTACGACTCATCTGAGGAATATTGTTACCCCTGTCTGAGGGTTGTTGTTACCCCTTTCTGGCCAAAAGCCAGGAATCGGGATCTTGGGAGCCTGAGGGATGGCAAAATGCAGGAAATCAGCTTAGTTTTGCCCAGTTCCAGGCCATGATTTTAAGCCAAATACAACCTCCCTTTAGTCACGACTCCACCTTCACTGACCTGTGGCTGTTTGGGCTGACAGAAAACAGTCATTTCACAGCTCTAACCCTCCTTCCCACCCGCAATCCTGCCCTCAGGAAATCCTGTGACCTCTCCAGCCTAGTGGGGGACATCTGAGGCCTCCCCACTCCCACGGTGAGGAAGACCCTGCAGTGATACCATCTTCTCTCTCTTCCAGGATGTCCCATCCCGACCATTCACCACCACCTTCTGGGAAAGGAACCTGCCATCTGTGCCAGGACTGCTGTGCCTGCTTAGCTCTACCCTGTGTTTTACCTCTGTGGCTGCTGCAGGGCTGTTTGCGTATAAAAAGGGACTGCTAATTCGGAACTAGTGGGAACTACATGTCCAATGAAAGCTGCATAGTACCTCTCCTTTCCTTTTACCAGATGAGTGTTATTTTTGGAGAGAAGTGGCATGGACAGCTGAAAGGGTGAAAGTTGTTCTCCTTGTGATTTTTCTTCTCAGTGCCATAATTAATCCGTCAAATCTACTGCAGTTGCTACCAGCAAAACAGAAATAAATCAACTGTGGGGACGTTTTTCAAATTTGCCTTTTCCTTGTCCATTTGTTTTGATTGGACATGATAATATCAGTGATATATTCCTAAAACAGGGAAGGCAAAATGCAGATCACACCTTCCCTGAAAGGCAAAGAGGCCTTGGAGAATGCATTTGTTTCCACTCACCACTTTATTTTTTACCACATGAGATAATAAATGCCCTTCTGTATTCACCTCAGTTTGCAGCTCAGAGTATCCAAGGTTACTCCCGTAACATCCCCACTGCACAGAAGAGATTAGCATGCCAATCAGACGTAGAATTGCCAAATTAATTTTCAAATGCATTTGATTAATTATTAATCATGGCCATGTGAAACTTAACCACTAGCTGGATGAAATGAGGTAATTAGCACGAAGCAGCTCGCTAAATGGTGAGAGATGAAGCACCGGTGGACTTTATTCTGCCTGCTACCGAGCAAACATCTGTGCTTATCTGTTCTGCAGGGTGCCCACATCGGTACGGCACAGCCACGGCGCAGCTCTCGGTTACTGCCTGGCCCAAAAGCATCCAATCCAGCCCAGCCGTTTGCTGTTGAGGCGGAGTGAAATGAATTAGCAAAGTTAAAGCCCCTTCGACTTGCAGCAGGTGCTAGCTGTTATTTCCTGAATGGCAGCAACTTCCTGGCTCCCTGTCAATTCGCTGCCCGTTGTTCTGCTCATAATCTGTACCGCCTTCCTCCAATAAGGAGAAATATATTCGAGGCTTGAATTACTGCCTTGTAAATTACAGTAATTGGATGCATCTGCCTGTTCTGCTCTTACTATGTACATGACACACTTAAAATAATCTCTTCAGTGTTTAACTGAAGTCTGGAATGTGTGTTTCACAATGTACCATCATTATGCAGTCTTTTTGCCATGAAGTGTGAGCATTGTATGTGTCCATGAACTCCACTGTCATTCAACGTGGGTGAAATGTGCCTTTCAATAGCCCTGAAACCTTGATAACAGGAGCTCTTCTATAAACTTTTCTTCAGATTCTTTCTCGTGTCGTTTTTTATGTGTTTGTGGAAGGTGGTGTTTCTCTATTTTGTTAGATCACTAGGCACATCACATGCAGCAGCCACAAAACCCTTACCCTACTCCATACAATCCATACGTACATGCCAATGGAAATGCCTACCTACCCAAGACGACTTCGCCCCTGACCTCTGCTTCAGCCACGTTCATACGTCCTCTCACTGTTTTGTACAAAAACCTTGTAGACACTGCAAGTGCAGACCAATCTTAGCCTACCTGAAGCCATTTCTAGAGGGAAGGAGTGCATCAGACAGCCCCTCGTCATCAGATGCCCAGCAGGTGGTCATGGTGCCAGTGTTAAGCACCACGCAGAAAAGGTTGTGCAGACAGTACACATCTCCCGACCTACTTTGTTCATTGTTCACAGCTATTCTGTGAGCACATCAGCATCTACCAGTTTCACTGGGTGAAAAAAAGCCTGAACAGATTATTTATAAGACTATCTGTATTTTCATCTCCAGCTTTCCCATCTGCCTTGAACTTACACATGCACTTCAAATTACCCTCACTAGAAAGGAGAGAATAGTCTCAGCAGGAGGCAGCAATGTTGGATTTCAAACATACTGAACTGTAGTATTAAATGCTTGTTTAAAGGATTTTTGACAGGTTGGTTGACAAGTCAGTTTAGCATCCACCTTTGGAACATTTTAAAGGAGGGAAAAGTGATCAGCGTGAATTGCTGTTTGACTTCAGGGGTCCCCAGCTCCAGTCATTACAGAGCAGGGATTCCTGTGTGCTAGGAGCACCCCATGCCTGCAGCCTGGCACAGACACAGTGTTGGCCTGAGGGCTTGGGGAGGTAGCATAGGTTTTCTCCCGACCAGCCTTTTGTGGCATGAAATGGTTCTGCATCATTACACACTTCCCCCAGGGGTTTATTTCCACCACCTGAAAAACACTGTCCATGTCTGTTCAAAAATATTCATCCATATGTGTATTTGTGACAATTGGAGCTGTTCATTTTTGTGCTGACTTTAAACTTGACATCTGAATTTCACAGTTTCTGCATGCACGTGTAACAGTGACCCCAAACCATCTGGAAAATACCCATGACCTAACACTGTCCAGCTTCTCTTTTCACCTCATCCACACACATTTCTATTGGGGTTTGTTTGGGATTTGAAGCGCATGTGCAATTCAGCTAAACCAGTCTCAAATCGGTAAACAGAGCCAGGCACAATGTTCCCTGCTTTGCAGGGAAAAAGCACGTCCCACTGTTGTGGGAGTGGTAAGTGACAGAAAAGATTGGTTAAAACTGGCGTTTCTGAAAATCCTGCATCTCCCAGACACCACGCTGCCGCAGAAAAAGGGCAGCATTCGTCAGAGATTATAAACCAGTTTCCATCCTGCTTTAATGCCCTTTCTGGCAATCGGAACCATTTTCATGTTTAAACATTAAACATTTAGCTTAAATATTAAACAGCCAGGCATCTTTCTTAAACCAATTTTGAAACAGAACGGGACTGAGTTGATCACCACTGACAACTCTCCAAGCAAGCTGCTGCTGTTATTAAAACCATGAGGCTGAAGCACCGTGGGAAACACCTTTTCCTGCTGGGGGTCTGAGCAGAGTCCTCACTCAGGCGGTGGAGCAGGAAAGCCTATGGTGACCTTCCCTAACGAGCAGTGCTCAGTGTCCCAGTTTTTGGAGGAAGAGCCCTGCTCTCCCTTGGCAGAGTTAGGAGAGTCTCTGTCCTCTCAAAACAGGAGGCGAGACAGGAGAGACCAAGGCTCACATCAAGTCCAGCCCCCGGGTGGGAAATGAATTGCATTGACACACCTGGGAAACGGGAAAGAGAAGGCTGCCGTGTGCTGCTTGGAAATAAAGCAGAGACCAGAGCAAACACTGGCAGGAGGAGCAGTGGAGGGGAAAGAGAGAAAAAAAATGGACTAATCCTTTATACTAGCAATGAAATAAGAAGTACCACAGAGCAGATAGATCAGGCGATCTGAAATAATAAGCTGAGATGATGCATATGAGAGAACCTGCCTTTTTTTTTTTAATTGAATTGCTGGTTTTGCTTACAGATACCACAGCAGCTATGCCCAGGCCCCTCACAGCATGTCACATCATTAGCCTCTCAACACCTTTGAGAGACATATTATTTGCGTGGAAACCCACTAAGTGAGAGGTCTGGGAAGGGGCCACCATTGTGAGGATGAAGCACGAGGTTGCAGGGCCTGCATGCTTTGTGGCAGTGGATGTGAATCTCCCCTGGGTCAGGTAGTGTCCTTCCAGCCATGTTCCTCACATGAGCGAAGGGGGACATCTGACCAGACTCATCCAGTGTGCTAAAGGTACATCCAGCGTCAAAATCTGCTCTGGAAAAGCACGTGGTTGCAGCTTGCACTTGCTCTCTTCTGCAGTTGTTCACCAGCAATAGTTTCCAGTCCACATTTGATTCAGCCCCTGGTTTCACACTTGATCTTTTTTCTCAGTATCAACTAGCATAAATTAGGATTATAATTTTGAGAAATGGTACCACCCCGGGAATGTGTGCCAATGTTATGTTTTCTGATGGGCTGTGATGTGCAGATTTCCCACCTCCCATTGACCAGGTTCTGGTGCCTGACAGCAAGGGCTTTCCCCAGCCAGAAACTACACCAGGAACAAGCTGGGGACTGGTCTTGTGCTCTCCATACAGAGCTCAACTCTCAGTTCCTAGCAGTAGCACCAAGATACAGAAAAATGGACAGACTCAGAGAGTCCTCTTCTGTGGAAACATCATTTTAGTCAGTTCTCTTCCTTTTAAGCTGTTTCTCTTCCATGGAGCAGTTGGAAACAAACAGATTTTCTTTGTAAATGTTCCCTGAAACAATTGCTTTCCACATAGAGAGAGAGAAAGCAAATTTCATCTTGGTGAAAATCCAGAAGGGGAAATTTAATGTGCTCTTTGTTAGTGAACTGTAACTTTTTCTTTTCCCACTCAGCTCCTGCGCTTGGCAGTAAATGTTTTGGGAGCCAGTTTCAATTCCTGTTCTGCTCTTGACTTGTAGCGCTTGGCTTCCCACTTTCTGTTCCCTGTTTCTTGCTTTCTTCAGAGGCTCGGGGTTTTTTTGCCTCATCTTATGTAGCAGAGACAGAATAACCCACTACACACTGAAAGAACAGGGGAAACAATTTCCCAGACAAAAACACATTAGTTACGAGAGGAAAGGGGAGCTTTAGTAGAGCAGTTCTGGCAGCTTGCTGTGCTTCCAAGGTCAGCAGTGCTTCCAAGCTGCCTGCCTCCGCTTCCAGGGGTTCCAGGAGATGTGACGTGCTCCAGTCTATAAATGTGAATGGATCAGACAGGGGTGTGAGTTTGCGCTGCCTATGACCCTACCAAGCACAAGATATAAGACAGTCTTCCTTTGCCATTTCTATTTTCCTGCTGTTACTCTTTCTCTGTGAAATGTAACCGGGAGCTCCACTGCCACTCCCAGTACAAGTAGACAGCTTCCACTTGAGATGAGGCTGAAAATTAAGTGAAGGGTGCAACCGCTACCAGTGTTTGCATTTGGACTTTCATGGCCAGATCATTCACTTGAAAACTCCTTGGATTATAGCATGAGCGCCATCATTTTCATCAAAACGTTGGTTAAATGCAGGGTGTTCCTAGGGCAGAGCTTAGCATGTGGAGGGTGACAGACTGCTGTTACAGTATCACACAGTATCACAGTATGCTAGGGGTTGGAAGGAACCTCAAAAGATCATCTAGTACAGCCCACCTGCCAGAGCAGGAACACCTAGATGATGTTACACAGGAACGCGTCCAGGCGGGTTTTGAATGTCTCCAGAGAAGGAGAC